ACGCCCTTATGGGTAGATACGGGCTTGTGTTGGGCTGATCACTATATACATGGGATTGGTAGTTGAGCTAAGATAGGATTCATTCCTCGAATATAATTTCGAGAGAACACTCATTTTCTCTACATTGGGTTGATAAAGTCATTGGTCAATGCACGTGATTATAATTGAAATAGTGTTCAAATATAATTGATAAAATCAACTAGTAAGATTAGATAAAATGATTAAGCGGTTTGGATAGACAAACATTCAAATCCTAAGCTTAATCGAGTGGTTCGTGAATGAAGGGACCGTACACTATTGAGTTCTACACTAAAGGTTTGTTTGCTTTGTCCATGTAAACGTACTTCATATTTTGAGTTCATTCTACGACGCAGTCTAGGAGTTTCGTAAGGTTCATAAATTAGATTTATGTCAATATATGAAGGCCTATAGGGTCGCACAATATGCAATCGGTTTTCCGGCTAAGAGTGAATCGAGAGTGTTAAATATTCAATTGGATTGGAATATTTATTTATGAGTAATGAGATTATTTTGTACTTGATAGTAAATATTTGATTAAGTTAAATTAGATTTATATTTATTTAAATAATTAATTGATTAGGTCCAATTACCTATTGGGCTATAGGGTATCCTACAGCTCATATGATTAGGTTTGAACTAATTATAAATAGGTCATTATCTCATTGTATTCTTTTGATCGTAAGTGAAAACAAAAGATCGATGTCTTGAGAAACACTTTGAGAGATCACATCTTAGAGATTGAGAGATCAAAAGACAAGCACTCTCTAGCTTTCTGGATTGAGGATTCCTAGCTTCTTCATCGGCAGGGATTCAATGGTGTTAGATCGTGCACCGAAAAATTAGATTGCGTGGATACCATAGTCGAGGACATAGACGAACTGTAAGTTTCGTTAATCATTCACGCGATCGAGGATCATGTCGAATAGCTAAAGCTAGATCTTCATTGTTGGTAAGAAAATTTTAAAATTCTACTGTGCGTACGCTGGGTTTGTACGTCTAAAATCCAACAGTGGTATCTGAGCACTGGGTCTGTGTTCATATCTATTTGATTTAAATTAGGTTTACATGGATCAAAATCTACTAATTATGTTTTAGTTTAATTTATAATTAAAATTGTTTTAATGATGATTAAACTATAATTAAGAAAAAGTAATTTGAAATTAATTATATGATCGTAAATTCTGGGAAGAAAACGAACCTTCAATGGAGTTTGGAATTTATTTTGGGTCTGTTCGTTCAAAAGCCTGGATTTGGAATCTTTGTTACTCTCTTTGCGTCTCAAAATTCTAGGATTTTGACTCCACGTAAGAGCCATCCATCGCGCTCACCGGAAAGGATTTTGGAATCGTGGATTCAAACCTGTAAATAAAATTAAGAAAACGACTTGGAATCGTTTTTTGATNGTGCTGGTTTTGTGCCGGTATGACCCGTGTAACACCCCATTTTAAGAATAAGAAAATAAGAACATCTGCATTTTATTAGCTCGACTAAGTTTATTTCAATTCTTTAATTAAAATGAGAATTAAGTAGATGTCCTCGCCTACTTAATTTTCTTAATAAAATTACCAAATCAATAGTCAAGATTTAAAAGGATGTCCTCGTCTTCCTAATTCTCCATTGTGTCCTCATTTTTGTTTAAGTGCCTGGATTTCATTATTTTACTAAGTGGTTAATTGAAGTATTTACCTAAGTGCCTATTTTCTTTTATGTACTTAAGTAATTATTTTGAATTTTGTCTAAGTGTACCAAGTGTCTTATATGTTTATGTGCCTATGTGTATTTATGTGACTAAGTTGTTGTGTCCAATTTATTTTCCTAAGCTTGCCTAGTATTCATAGTAATCCTTGGTGGACTAATTGAGCTTGGCCCAAGCTTCCCTTGCACAAGCCCAAACGGATTTTTTTTATGGCCCAAATCTTACTCGGCCCATTGATTGTCTAAGCTAAGTCAAGAGACTCTCCCCGCACGTTTGAGACCAGGTCATCTTCCCTCGAACGAACTCCCTCTTCTCTCGGCCATCAATACTCAACCATCAGCGACCACGACACCTGATCTCCATGGAACCCGGCTCTCCCATACCCTAATTCTCTTAGTATTTAAACCACCAAGAGAGATTCACAGTTGCAACCCCATTTATTTCCCCAATTTCACAAAATCGGCGAGCGAAATTCTGAGAGCCAACATTTTCCCGAACAGGCCTCGCAGAGGCGAACCTATAGAAATCCGACGAGTCTCGATCGAGCAATCGAGAGCGGAATCACCGGTGAGTTCCGTGCGTGCGGCTGAGACAAGTAGCGAGGCGAGCTTTGTGCGCGGCTGAAACTCGATGTCGTCGAGCGGCGACCTCTGAGTTCCAATCCCAATTCCCGGTGATGAGATTCGAGCACTACCGGTGTAACGCCCCACTTTGATTTAACGAAAATCCATGGCTTTTTTGAAAAATCAGTTTAATATTTTCGAAACTTATTTCAAAACATTTATGGCGTTATTTATTTCAAGTCCTTTTTTCATAACATAAAATCAACTCATAACATAAATCATCAATCGTCCATCATCTACCTCCCAAAACGGGATTCATAAATCATAAGTCACCCAAAAGGCTTTTCCAAAATTAACACAGTGTTCACGGGGCATCTCCCCAACATTATTCATAAAATCTCGGAGTTCATAATTTCATAAACGCATAAATCCGTTCATAAGTAGCGGAAGCAATAAATATTATTATGGTCGTAGAGACTGACTACCACTCGCACCTCGCCGTCATGCCCGCTTTGCTCAACCTGAAATGTTAATTCCAAGTGGGAGTGAGCACAAATGGAAAACGAGGTGCTCACCACTATGCAATAATCAATAATCATAATATAAGATGGTACGATCGTAGCATCTATATGAATCAATCAAGTATCCCAAATTTTCATCATAAATTCACAGTGTCAAGACTCATGTGCATACCTACACATAGACTACTGCTGGTAGACGTATCGAATGCCTTCGCTCAGCCTTACATCGACTACCCAGCCAGTAGGAGTATCCCCCGTCGGCCGAGCACCGCTCTGGTCTCACAACGGGGAACTGACCGAGCACAGCCCTGGTCTCATACCTCCGACAGAGCACAACCCTGGTCTTACATGCGTAAAGAACCCCACGTAAGGCAACCGTTCGACGGCCGGTCCAGCTCACATCGAAGGCTACATGATTTGCATGCATACACTGATCATACCACACGTAAGGCAATAATTTATTGCATAGCAAATTTCAAATAAAAACCACCTGGTTTGTAGCAACTGATATCACGAAGTTTACGAGTAGGTTGAGAGCTCGGCTCGTCAAACACTTACATTTATTAAAATAGTCCTATAAATGACTATCCAACACATAAAACACACATATAACCATTCACTAGGTTCAACTCAGCTCATATAAAACATATAAGCATTCATTTAACAAGTAATTTCCGTTTTAAAAAATACAACACAAGTTTTTCAAAACTTAACCCTTGCAGCGATTTTGAAATCGACACCATTTACAGCACACAAGTCACATTAACACGAATCTAGTTGCATATGAATCCTAAGGCATGGATCTACAACTCTTATGAAGACATTGAGAGCAATTAAAGTCATTTACCAGGAGATAAATCATCAAACACTTGAAATAGAGTTGCTGTTAAAAATCTGGAAACATATGGTTGACAGGACCTTAGTATATGCAAGATAAATGAAGATACAGACATACTTTCAAGGAGATTCAAAAACCAAAATTCAGCTAACTCAATTATCTACAACTGTTCTGAAGACCACATTGGAAAATATTGACATTATCAACGAGTTTAAATACAATACATTTGTTTCATCAAATCTGCCCGAGACTAACTTTAGGATATAAACAGCACCTCGGTATTTATTACCTAAATCATGCTACAGACCTCCAAATGACATGGTTCTAAAACCCTATGGATAGCCAAGGAATAAGACTACAATTTTCATGAATACCTCAGAAGAAAATAATGGCATTTAGCAGGTCATAAATTGACTAACATGATGAACCTAGTTGCAGTCCAAGAAACAAGAACATGCTTGTGCATAGCTTCAGTAAAATGGACATAACGCATACTACACATAACATATTAACATGATTCTTGCCTTTTTAGAAAGCTAAGAGACAGCCCTACAACTTTTACGTGGGGCACAGAACCGGATAAGGTAATTACAAATGGGTAAAAGCAACTAACATTTACAAATCAATTTCTGCCAAAAGTGCAAACTTATCTCATGTATATCCTAAATCAATTCAACATAACTCGAGCTACAGACATCATATCAGCATGAATATTATCTCATCAGAAAGATAAGAAATAAAACTATAACTTTATGAAGATCACAAACTCATTTGATCACATTAAGATAAAATAAAATGGTCATACATTTAATATGAACTTGCTGTCGGGTTTTGTTAAAACTGTTTGCGCGACAATTTTGTAAAAGTCATAACTCACTCAATTTAAACCGAATTTATAAAATTCTAAAGCTCACTGAAATGTAACAGAATGAACTTCATTTCATATGAAGAACACAACTTCAGAAAAAGAGTATTTCAAGCCCTTTTCAGCATCACAACAGAGGACATTAAAATCGAAATATAAGCCATTTACCACATGATATCGCAAAAACATCATTCTTAAATACCTAATCTCATCATAATAGCATATAATCACATGTCAACATATATACACACATAAAATAAAACGGGTTCGAGCCTTCATGTACCGTTCTCAGAATTAACACACGAAAACGAATGAAGGAGGGGTTGTCCGGTTCGGTCGTGCGTGCGGTTGGGCCGGCAGCTTTCGCGTGGCTCACCGGTTCGCGTGTGGGGGCGTTGCAGTGGCTGTGGCTCCTCGTCGGTCGGCGCTGGTCGTGAGGGGGAGCTCACCGGCGGGGTTGCAACGATGAGCCGAGAGAGGGAGAGAGAGAGACACAATGGTGGTGCTGCGATGGAAACTAATGGAGGAAAGATTTTCTTGCAAGAGAAGGAGAAAGGGAGCGTCTGTTTTTGCGTAAGAGGTAGAGAGGAGAGATTTGGGGAAACCGTGTGTTGAATTTAACAGGATTAGGGGAAGAGTTTAGTGACATTCCATCTCTTCATCAATTTAAATAATTTTAAGGAAAAGAGAAGTGATAGGCGTGTGGTATTATGAAGTAATATTCCCTTATAAACCAAAGCAAAATCCAAGAGGTGCTATCTACTAATTTTAGATTTCCATCAATGCATAATTGGAAGTGATTGGCGTGTGGTGTAGGGGAATTAGAGCTGGTCTTTTTTNGTGCAACTATTATAAAACTCAAAAGTGAACAATGTTCGAATACAACCGGAAACCAAACTACAGAGAAACATGAGAGACATGTCACAGACGGTCTAGAGCCTCGACTAAAATACAATAAATCTCAAACACCAACTAGAGGAATAAAAGAAGGTAACTCTCACCACTGCTAAAAAGCCTAGCAACAAGTTACAATCTCCTAAACAGAAAACCAAGCACACTAAAAAACAGAAAACAGAAAATGAACCCAAACAACATAAAGAAACTAGGCAGCAGCTAATAATTGTAGCCAATCCGAGTGAGCCATTTTGACCAAAACATGATCTGGTATGAAGGTCTTTTGGAATATCCATAAGTTTCTGGACATCCAAAGCCACCAAAGCATATATGTGGAACCCAATTGTGATCTTCAATTCTAGTGTTCAGCCCATTTCTGATCTCAATTTTAAACCATTTGGCAAACATTGGCAAGACATCCATCCAACTGTTCCACATCCAGGAACCACCTTGGATTTTTTTTGCATTCACTATGGAAGAGTGGGGAAAATACCTATCTTTAAAAACTCTGCTCACCAGGAGGTCTGGGTTAGAGGCTACTCTCCACAGCTGCTTGCAAATTAGAGCTTTGTTAAACAACTGTATATCAAGAAACCCAAGACCACCTGACTGTTTTGGGAGTGTTAGAAAACTCCATTTTTTCCAGAAGATGCCCTGGCCTACTTCAGAATTTGACTTCCACCAGAAGTGAGCACAAAGATTGGCAATATCTGCACATAGAGTGACTGGCAGCTTGAAACAAGACATAGAAAATATTGGCAGTGCCTGGATTACTGCCTTCAAGAGTACTGCTTTACCAGCTGAACTTAGAAGCTTGCCCTGCCAACCAGAGAGCTTTTTCCTGACAGCTTGGAGTAGATAATCAAAGATTTCTCTCTTGTTTTTGCCAATGCCTAAAGGAATTCCAAGATACCGAGTTGACCTGTGGGTAACTATGCCATTCAGAGTTGAGCAAATGGTGGATTGAAGGATCTGAGGAGTGTTCTTGCTAAAGAAAATGGCTGATTTGTTTAAATTAACTGCTTGGCCTGTGAAGAGCCTGTACTGTTCAAGGATGCTCATGAGGATGGTTGCTTGATCATTTCCAGCCTTGCAGAAGAAGAGTGAATCATCTGCAAATAAGAGATGAGAAAGCATGGGGCCATTCCTAGAGATTTTCATCCCTTTGAGCAGTCCAATATTGACAGAGTTCAGAATTAAAGCAAATAAGAGCTCAGCCACAATAATGAAAAAGTAAGGGGATAGAGGATCCCCTTGCCTAATGCCTCTGGAAGGAGATACATAGCCACTGAGAGAACCATTGATTTTAAAAGAGAAAGTTGCAGAAGAGACACATATCATGATCAGCTTCACAAAATCCATATGGAAACCCATTTACAGCATGATTTTCTTCAAACATAACTATTCCACACGATCAAAAGCTTTTATCAAATCCAACTTCAGTGCCATGAAAAAATTAGGGCCAGAGGTGTGCCTATTTAAAAAATGAAAGGCTTCTTGGGCAATAATCACATTATCAACAAGTTGTCTACCCTCTACAAAAGCAGCTCGGTATGAACTGACGCAGCTTGTTAAGCAATTCTTTAGTCTTAAGGCCAGAATCTTAGATATCATTTTGTAAACAACACAGCATAAACTTATGGGTCTGAACTGCCCCAATGTGTCAGGAGTTGGACATTTTGGAATTAGAGAGATTACTGTGTGATTCCAGTATTTGAGAATCTTACCTGAGTTGAAGAAGCTTGCAACTGCTGCTAAAATATCTTGCTTGATAAGTGGACAAAAATGCTGGTAGAAGGCTGCTGTCATCCCATCTTCTCCTGGAGATTTATCAGGATGAAGACTGAATAAAGAATTCTTGACCTCCTCTTCTTCAACAGGTTTGAGCAAATATTGGTTCATTTCAGAAGTTATAGAAGTATGGATGAGAGGAAAAATGGATTCTCCACCCCAACAACCTTCAGAGAAGAATAAGTTTGAGTAAAACTCTTCAATATGCTTCTCTATCTCCCTTTGAGTGGTGAAGATCTGGCCTTGTTGAGAAATCGGCCTGGTGATAGCATTGTATCTCCTTTTTTGCATGGTAAGAGTGTGAAAGAACTTGGTATTGGCATCCCCATCCTTCAGCCATTTAGATTTGGCCTTTTGCTGCCAGTACAATTCTTCTTGCTTGTGAGCCTGATTCAGTGATCTTCTGGTTGACTACCATTCCTCCCAATTTATGGCTGCCTTGTTCTGATTCAGAGACTCAAGCTTTGCATTAAAAGCAGCAATGGTTTTCTGTCCTTCAGTGTGGAAAGAGGAACTCTATTTTAGCAAAGCTAATCTGGTGATCTTAACTTTCTCTTTAAGCTGGAAAAAAAGAGTGCCTTGAACCTCAAAAGCCAGGCTTGCTTGACTACCTCTTCACATCCATCCTTTGTCAACCATTTTTTGTCAAAATGGAAGCTAGTCTTTATCCTTTCTCTTGGTAGTCCCAAATTAAGTACCAGGGCAAAGTGATCAGAGGCACTTCTGATTAGATTAGTGACAGTTGCATTTGGGTGTTGCTGGTTCCAATCCAGAGAGCCAAAGGCTCAATCCAATTTTTCTTCTACTAAGTCAGGGAGTGCTCTGTTGTTACTGCATGTAAAAAAGGGTCCTAGCATTTTGATCTCCTCCATAGCCATGCCTCTGATGAAGCTTGTGAACCCTGTGAAGGAATTGGGAGTTCTGAGATTGCCCCCTTGTTTATCACCACTTGAGAGAATGTCATTCCAGTCTCCTATAGCAAACCAGCTGTTACCCCAAGAGTGTTTATCATTGAGCAGGCCTTCCCATTGGTCAATCCTGAGACTTTTAATGGGGTTAATATAGACAAAAATTCCCCATTGAGGAGTAGAGGTGGATAACAAAAATTCTACAGCTATATAATACTCCTTGCATATAATTTGCTTAATAATTACTTGGGAATTCCAGAACAAAACCAGACCACCGCTGCAGCACAAGGGGTCCACTGTGATGAATCTGTCTGCAAAACCCAGCTTATTACTAACTGTATCAACAAAGGCTTTTGATTTCTTGGTTTCTGAAAGTAAGAGAAAGGTTGGGTGATGAGTTCTCAGCAACTCTCTGATTTGGGAAATTGTAGAGGGCCCACCCAGCCCTCAATTCCACACCACAGCTAACATTGACCACTTGGGTGCCATTCCAGGCTGGCAACCCCCACCTTTTCAGAATCTTCTTGTGATTTGTCTATTTTATCTTGCTTCAGAAGTTTTGAGTCTTTGGATGATGATGGAAGCTCACATTCTGCAGAGGTTCTCTCCAGACCTGAGACATTGTCAATCACAATTGGTATGATAGGTTCCCTGAGCAATCTACCAGACTTGTTCCCAAATCTTTTCCATGTTTTTGCAGGGCCAGTGGGTTTCTTCTCCAGCTGAGTTAGGAGTGGAGAAGGCTCAGCGGTATCAAATTCCATCAAGGTTGTTATCTCCTAATCTGTAGGGCTAGGTTCAACCAACACCACATCTGGAGTTGGTGTTTTGTTTTGAGAAGAGATAGATAAGGCAGTAGATACCTTGACAGAAGAAGGAGAGGACTAAGGGTCCACTGAGGCTTGCATTGAGTGAGAGGGGTTAACTTCATGGAGGGGAATGATCTGGTTATTGTGCTCTGCCTGGTTTGAGGATGGATGGAGGAGAGGAGCTCCTATTTCTTGATTGACTTCCTCCTAACCATTTCTGCCCTTCAGTAGCCTTTAGCCAATCACCCTATTGACCCTCTTTAAGTGCATTGTTTTTTATATCCTGAATTCTTGCCTGACAAGTTCTATCCAAATGCCCTATTTTGCCACAGTAATGGCACAGGTTCATGAGCTTTTCATACTTAAAGCCCACATTTACTATGTCTTCACCTAAACGGATATGGGCTATTCTGGGAATTGGCTCTTCCAGATTCAGGGTAACAAGAAGCCTTAGCATCATACCTCCATGACTTATGTTGTTCACAATGACCACATTATTAACTTCCTTAAAGGTTTTCCCTATCTTTAACCCCACATCAGCGCTTAACCAGTTAAGAGGTAGATTTGTTTCCTGTACCCATAAGTTGATCTCACTGAAGCTGGGATGTTTGCTGTTGAGATTGCAAGACCATTCTATGAGGATTAAATAATGATTTTCAAAGCTCCAATTTGATCCATTCGCTACCCGGTTTTTATCTTCTTTGCTTTGGAAGATGAACTGGAAGTAGTTTGGGCTGAGCTCTTTCACCTCCATCTGCTGATTAAGCCGCCATATTTGAGTCATTGCTCTCTTTACCCCGAACCAACCCGTAACTCTGCCCCCTATAACTTTCCCAAATAAACTTCTTTGGCATTCATCGTCACTCAATCGAATATCTTCCTTAGCTATATCTATTACGTTAATTTTCCTTTCGGATAATGAGAAATCATTCAATCTAGATGATAGCTCATCATCGGGGTGAGTATGAAAGTTACCGTCCATTACGAGAACCCTAATTGAAAGAAGTATCAACTGGAAATGGCTACTCTGCGAAACTATCGACAAAGGAGAATCTGATAATCACGAACATGGTTGAACAATTAGATAAATCCAGGTTAAGATCAAAAATTGAGATCGCTCCCAACGAGAGAATCTTGAGCTCTCAACGAGAGAATCTTGAATTAGAGCTGGTCAAAGATCCCCCTAATTGGCTTAGAAAAAATAAATTAAAATTTGAACTTCAACACTTAATAAAAATTACAAACAAAATTTAGCGCATGAAAGGGATCATAAGCTCAATTGGGCCGAACCATAAGGGCCGAAAATAATTGAAGGATTTGGGTCAAAATGATAAATTCAAGGTTCGGGTCGAAACGGCTCGAAAACGGATAAAAACGGATTTAATTCAGTCTACGTGATTAAATCGAAAATCGCCGAAACATTTTAAAAATCCGAAACAAATAAATTCTAATAATTCTAATATACATAAATAATATATAAACATATAAAAATCACATATATTAGCCACATAACAATTTATATCAAGTAGACAAATAAGACGAGCAATTTTTATCTCATAACCGGCAATTAAATAAAATAAGCCAAATAAATAATAATATAAAAATCCAGAAATTCTATTAAACGAACGGGACATTATATTATCTTTAAGACAATATAATGTGATGACTTTAATCGAGAAATAATCATAAATAGCCGAAATAAAATAATACAATGAAATCTCATAAAATCCAAATAATCGCATAAATTCTATTATTCGAACGGGACGTTACAACCGACGATCCAGAGCCGCCACACCTGACCGAGAGCCACTAGTTGTCGGCAGAGTCGAGCAGGTCTGCCGGCGGACGAGAGCAGGCTGAGAGCGAGCTTCCGACAAGTCACGGCCTTGTCCAAAATCGAGGAGTTCCGAGGCGAGCAGGCCTCATCCCGGCGTCAGCAACCTTACAGCGACGGAAGAAGAACCTAGGCGGTTGAGTAAATTGACGAGCCTCACCGGACGAACGGAGAAGCAACTGAGGACCACCGGGCTTTCGGCGGAGTACCAAGCAGATCAAGTGACACCGAGCTCAGAGCAGAAGCAAGCCGAGCTGTCTCCGAGATCATACGGGGCTGAACTTTGTGCACCCAAGGCCTAACCGACAACCGAAACCGAGGGTGAAACCCCATCAGGCCCGAGAAACTGAACCATCTTCCAGCCGTGTCCTTTAAGTCCCGAGAAAGGTAGATGGCTGAACTCTTATGGCTTTTTATTGGTTGGGATTATGGAGTTTTGAATCTTAGTTGCTGTGTTCATTAGAGGAGAGGAAAGCATGTCTGTTATGTGCTTTGCCTTGTTTATCTTTGAGCATGACCAAGCCCCTGTTTGTTGCGAACCATCAGAGTTTGTTGCTGGGAGTTTTGTGTCGAATTTTATGCTTAATTTGTTCCGCCTTGAGGAGTTCTTAAGCTTGTTATTTGGCTTGAGTCTTATGTGGATAATACATGCTGAAGTTAGTGTCATTAGATGCCTTTTTATGTCTCAGTTAAATCTCCATTACCATGTGGTTTAATACATGAGAAAGAAAGAGGTCAAATGAGGCATGTTGTGTTGATATCTTTGGTCGTACAGTTCGCTTAGTTGCTGAGCCTCTATTATATGTTTAAGCTGTTGGAAATGTGCTTAAAGGACAGAAATTTAATCAGTTTTTATGGCCTTGATGATTGATGGTTTTAGCTTGAGAAAAATAAAATAAAAAGGGGCATGATATGCGTGATTTTGATCTCTTTTTGTATGATTAATTTTTGAAGTTTTGTACATGTTAGCATGTTGAAAATGTTCATATTAGAGGTTTTAAGTTCCAGTTCTAAGGCTGTAGATATCTTGCATACGTGTTGAGATAAAGAAAAAAGGGAAATGAAGGCTATATTCATGTTTTGGTGTGTTTTGTTTGGCTTTCAGTTGCTGTGATTTTGATGAGATTTAAATGCTGTCATTGTGTGTATTTTTGAAGTGATTTTGCTGTTCTTATGTGGGCCTTAGATATTAGTATTATTTATGTTTGTGCTTTGAGGGAAAAGAAAGTAAAAATGAGACTATGTTGTGGTAATTGGCCTCATTTTGGTTGGAACATCTCTGTGATCTGTTAGGATGATTATATATGATATGAATGCTGAAAATGAGTGATGGTAGTGATTTCAAATTCATTTTAAGGGTCTGTTGCAGTCATGGTAGAATAAAAGAAAAAGAATGAAGGAAAAGAAACATTGTTTGTGTATATGTGTAATGTGTTTGAAATATGTGGGTGCAGCCACATGAAACAAAAAGAAAAAAAAAATTGAAAGTGGGTGGCGGTGCCTACCACCACTTTGAAATAAAAATAAATAAATAAATAAAATAATAAAAAGGAAGAAGCAATGAAGGTGCAGTCGCAAGTTTTTTTTCTGTTCACATGGTACTTCCTCCCCTATAAATAGAGGGAGTGCTCAGCGGAGGAAACACACCAAGCAAGAGAGAAAAATAACAGGAACAAAGTATTCAGTTCCTGGAGTGTTAGATTTTTCAGTGAGTTGTAAAAATAGAGTGTTTGAGTAAATCCTGTGAGTGTGGGAAAAATACACCGGGTCGGGTATCATCTTTATTACTTCTTGTTTGTAATATTTGAATAGGAGTGGGGTTTCACTGGGTCACTATATTTTACATTTCTAGTTTAAGGGAGTGTGAAAAGATATTGTAATTATCTTGAAAATATAGTGGAATTGGTCGGAGGTTGTCCCGTGGTTTTTTCCTCTAATTGGAGGTTTTTCCACGTTAAATCTTGGTGTCTTATTTCTTGCATATTTTATTTATTTGGGATATTCTTAGTATGCTCTGTGGTTGCAGTTTAATCTGATCTTCCACATCAGAAAAGAATTATTCCTATTTGATTGCAAGAGATTTTATTCTTTAGTTGCTGAGATTATTATTATTATTCACCATTTCAAATTGGTGTTTTAATTTACACCTTCCGCATTTGCGCATCTGAGTCCAACAAGTGGTATCAGAGCTCAAGTTGGGCTCTGAATCAACCCGTGTAAATTAAATGGAGGAGAACGTGGGTACCATGGTGAAGCTGACAGCAACAAATTACTCCATTTGGAAGCAAAAAATGGAGGGCATACTTTTCTACAAAGATCTGTATGATCCTGTAGAAAAGGGAGATAACAAGCCAGATGACGATTGGAAAAAGTTACACAGGAAGGCTGTTAGTTTAATCCGACAGTGGGTGGATATCAGCATATTCCACCATGTTGCCACAGAGTCAAAAGCCCATACTCTGTGGAACAAAATTGAGCAGATGTATCAAAGGAAGACTGCACAAAATAAAGCTTTTATTATTAGAAAGCTTGTGAATTTAAAATATCGGGATGGAAGATCAGTTGCAGAACACTTGAATGATTTTCAAGACATGGTAAACCAGCTTGTTACCATGGAGATGAAACTTGATGAAGAACTGCAGGCGCTGTTACTTTTGAGTTCTTTACCGGATAGCTGGGAGACTTTGGTGGTCTCATTGAGCAACTCTGCTCCTAAAGGAAAACTGACTTTGACCCAAGTCAAAGACAGTATGTTTAATGAAGAAACAAGAAGAAAAGATTCAGGAGCAAGCAGCTCCCAAGCCCTGGTCACAGAAACCAGGGGGAGAAGTTAAAGCAGAGGCCGGAATAACAAATCCAGAGATAAATCACAATCTCAACCCAGAAGAAAATTCAAATGTTATCACTGCGGTGAAGAGGGGCATATCAAAAGAAACTGCAAAGCCTGGAAGAACAGAGATCGGAGGAATAACAAATCAGAGAACGATGAAAATACCGCAACCCCTGTTGTAACGCCCCGTTTTATTTTAAAGAATTTACCGAATTTATTTAATAAAAATCAGAGTTATTTTTTTTCTTTAAAATCCAAGTTAAAACATTTATCGAGAAACGGGCGCTACTTATTAACCACAACAAACAAACACACTCAATCAAACCATCCAATGAACCTACACATGCTCGAGCTATGAAAATGACAATCTCATAAATCATAAGTTTCGAAACCATTCCCAAACGACTAGCATGAAAGCAAGGTTCAAACGAAATTCAACATAGTTCGAAACTGACGAAAACAAATAATCAACAGTACAATAGCAAATAAATAAATCCTACACATGCATAAGCCAACAGTTACAAAAATAAACCAGCTTATTCAAGTCTCAACATCATCCAAAAAGTTTAACATAAATCCATGGTTCATCCAACATAAACATGGTTTCAAGCTGAAGCATAAATAATCCAAAATAAAAGCAAGTAGTTCATCATATAATAAAAATAAGCAGAAGCAAAGACACATCAATTAATGACCACCATCTCGCTCGTCCTACGCCACTGCCTCCAGCTCGTCTCAACCTAGCACAAAGGAAGAGAGAAAACAACAAGAAAATAATGGGGGTGAGCAACCAACTAGCTCACCATTATCGCACAGTTATTCCGTATAATCATTTTAAAAGCAGTATCACAGTAAAACAGTTTCAGTATCGGTATGCACAGAATTCATAGCCTAAACCCCCTACCCAGCCCTATCGCAAACCTCCTATGTACATACAACAACCTTCCGGATACAACGGCATGGCTGTAACTGGAAACATTCCCACCCCCGGGTACAACGGTTCGTAGGATCCTTTCCAGGAGACAGTAGAGATGTTTTTCCCCTTCCGGATACAACGGCATGGGGCGTCCCTCCCGGATACAACGGACAGGCGACCTCCTACTGTTTTCGCATTCATCAAGGCACTAGCGTTCGGGACACTTAGACTAGAGTTCTCATGCATACAAAAATTTTCAAAAGAAACATTACACGAAATAAGGAGTGCGATAAATATGGAATACATCATAAATGTACCCACCTGATTCCAGCAACAGATCACAGTCACAAATCTCGAAGTGAGGCAAGGTCATCACCTCTAGACACCTACATAAGTCCAGGTGCTAAAGTCAACACTTTACTCTAGACCCATTTAGCAAAATCACAATTTGACTTAGTCGAACTCGGTTCGACCAAGTGGTTCATGAAGTTCTGTGGATATGGAAACTCTAGGGCTTAGACTCGATCAAAACACATTCAATATCACATAATCACCAATGAATGCCAATCAAACAGGTCACAAATAAACACGTAGCACATTTAGTCAACAACACTTAACAACCTTTAGTATAGAAAAACAATTTCTCAAATTCCCACTTGAACTTGAAGGCATATCAAACTTATGAGTCAGGCTCTGAAAACTTTACACAGAATTCACCTCCTAGTTTTAAGAAAAATGGCCAAGTTTCAGCTTCCAACTCATTGTACATGATTTTATAAAATTCAGACAAGTTTTTCAACAAAAGCGAGTTTAAATTAAAAGCACATGAAAATGGATGATTCAGGCCACAAAATTTTTATCTAAAATTTTAAAGCATAGGAAAAGGAACATATAAAAATACCAGGCTTTAACACTCAGCAAGTGATTTTATAAAATTAAAACAACATTCAGCCAAGTATTGCACTTATAACAGAACCGACATCAAATGAACTCCAAAATTTCTAAAAGTTTTACAGCATGTTGAACATTACATAATAAGTACCTCCACAAATTTTCAGAATTTTCCAGCTTCAGCACAATTTATAACAATTAAAACAAAATCGGGTAGAAACACCAAATAAATCATTAACTCTGTCAAACCCAGTTCAAAAATTCTAAAATTTTTATACAATATATAATCATGCTTGAGACAAAACATATTCGAAAATCAGCCAGAAAAAAAACACTACACAATTACTTATGAATTTTATAAGAATCTGAACAGAATTCGAATTAATTTTTAAAAATAGCTAAACACCTTTAAAAATCTTGAAAATTGTACAGCAGCTACATATTCACCAAACACAGCGGCTCCTAAAATCTCAAGGAAATCGGACCAGTATTCGATTTATAATGAATTTTACAAGCTAAACAGCAATTATAACTTTCGAAAAATCGTAACTATCAATCTACAAGTCCGATCGACACAAGGTCAGCGCCATTGTGTTCGTAAAAATCCTAGGTTCCTAAATCCACAGAAATTCATCACTTACTTTCAGCTCTCGCTCGATTCGCAC